TTTTGGAAGCACTAAAGAGGATTGCACTCCAGGTACCCTGGAGCGTCAAACTTTCCCCTGGCCTTATGAAGGTATGGTTGTATCTTTGTTGTTTGTTCCTGGGTCTGTCAACATCTGACCACAGAAAACCAAGCACCAGGATCTGTCTTTCACAAGCCAAAGGCCAACCAGGGCAGCATTTGTGTTATTGGAGCCCTGAGTACCCGTGTTCTCCTTCAGGAAGTTTAGGAGTCCCAGTGAAAGCAAGACCCAAGATCCTACAACCTGTGAACTCAAGCTGGATGGACTCAATATTCACAGACAGCCGTATCTGGGGACAGCTGGAGCCTTGGTCTTAGATGGTACCTGAGATGCTACAGCACGAAGCTTCACAAAATTTTTGGGGTGCCAAAAACTTGTTAGCCACTCGGAAAAGAAGCACCTTAGCTCCAGGCAGCTGCTGCCAGTAGGGCACCACAGCTGTTGCTACATTTAGATCATGTCTTGGCACTGCCAGCTGCAGCCATCAATTTTCTGAGGGGCCTCAGCAACAGGAGCCCAGAAAAGCCCTGAGGGGGAAGAGCCAGGGACTATGAATAATGTGGGTGAAAACAAGAAGTTTGGGGAATCAAAATTGCAGGCAAATTTTCATCCCTTCACACTTCTCTGTGCAGTGGGAAGGGACAGAAACTCTTTTGAAACAAAAATAACTATGCTCCATTTCACTTCTGTGACTCAGCTCCATAGTCCTAACTGAGACAAATAAACAAAGAAAAATGGGAGCATCCCAGAATGAGAGAGACAGACACTGGGAATGACAAGCCAGGACTGGGAGACCTGTGCATCACCAATAATGAATCCCAAAAAGCAGTCACTTGTCTGAGCCTGTTTTATTACCCCTTCTGCAAGGAGTGAATGAACAGGGCTAAGGACAAGAAAATAAATGGGAAAGAAGGACTGACCATGAAGATTAGCCATGAATAGTAGTCTCATCATGAGGGTATTGGGACTTTCCTGACAAAAAAAACATCACAATTGGAAGTAACTGGTAAAAGGGAGTGGGGCCAGGCTGGCTGGAAAGCAGGGGCAGGAAGGATCAAAGCACTAGAGGAGGAAGGAGGACAAAGACAGGGAGGCTGCAATAGCTTAGAGAGGGAGAGATGCATCAAGCAGCAGGGGAGCCTTCTCCCTGCCCACTGCGGTAATGGGGCCTTTGTTCTGCTCCTTTCATGTTCCCTCAGATCCCAGCCTATGGACAGCCGACAGGAGCTGAATCAATCATCGCTGGTCCCAGCGGAGGGCAAGGCGTGATTGATTTGCTCTCCCTGATGGTTGGCTCTGAAAGGACGAGCTCTCATTACAGTTAGTTTCTGGGTATCGTTCTTTACTCCAGGCCTAAATGCTGCCAAACCTCCTGCCTCCGCCATGGGCTGATTCGGTGTCATAGTTTCCTTTCAGCTGCCTGAGAAAGCTGTGATGGAAAAAAACCAAATGACCATATTAAAAAAAAATAAATAAAAACCAACAGAACATGTCCCCCAACTTCAAAACTTGCTCCTGAAACATAAAGCTGAGGCCGTGGCCGTGGATGATTTTAGTGCTCGTCTGCTCCAAATTCCAGTCATGCTTGTCACAATCCCACAGCCTCTCTCTAATTGTCAGGCACAGCCCTTTGTGTTCCTAATCACCCCTGAAAGGGCCTCACTCCCGTGATCTGGTGGGCACCCTGGGGTGGCTGCCTGTGGGGGCCAAGGGGTAAGGCAGCCCTGTTCCTGCTCTGACATTCTGCAGGCTGCCAGCTGCTCTGGGAGAGCCTGGAGTGTGGTGGAGAGGACAAGAGATGGGCTCTAGTTTCCAGAATGAGATGGAGATACTCTGCCCAAGGACTAAAAGAGGGAGATGGAGACAGGTGGCTCCTGGATGCACATTCAGGAGCAGAAAGGGGGTGGTGGCAGCCATCTATTGTCCATCAGTGGCACCAAGGTGAAGCCAGGCCTTCTTGTTGAGTTTATATCATACTTTCTGCAATGGTTAATGCTGCTGTTAAGTACACATCTATGGGAAAGGACAATCCATTTCAAGCTTTTCCCCTCTTCAGTGTACATCAAGCATCCCACCAATTCCAGACATGGGTGAAGGCAGTACTGTTAGCTACCAAGGCCATTGCACTTAAACAGACAGTTTATCTGCAGGTTTTAATTATTCACCATTTTAAATTCTCCCCTCCTACATGTTCTCGTATCCTTCAGCCACTCTTGATTAACACAGCAATGCTATGTTCTCCTTTAAATGCCGCTCATGGAATCATAGAACCACTTCAGCTGGAAAAGACCTGTAAGATGGTGGAGCAATGAATAATGTTACTCTCCAATCCATCACCATTCTCACTGAGACTGATCTGATGAGATGTATCTCAGCTACATACAATGGACTGAATGATGTGCAGAATTCAGAGCCAAACAAAATTGCTTCAAAAAAAAGTTATGCACAAACCCAAATCTTCTGCATGGATTGGCTGGAGTAGAGAAGGAATCTTAGACAGAGGAGGCTTTATGGAACAACAAATCTGAGAAGGATCTGGGAAAACCAAGGTGTGTGAGTATCTGGGAACAGCAAAATAAGGTAATCATAGTGAGATTAAAACATCTTAGAACCACCAGACACTAGACACAGATTCTGATAGTGATGTCCTTACAACTACCCTGCTCTCTTTCTTGACTGAAGAGTGGGTATCATACCTGGTATGTGTTGATGCAATCTAGTTCTAGTGCCCAGGGCAAAGCATTCCCTGGTTTCAGCTCCTGATGGGTTAAAAAAGGGCTAGCATAGCTCAGGCTTCCACAGGCAGTTTGCAGCTTAGCTGTTAATTTGGGAATGTCTCAACTTCACCTCCAAGTTTTGAAACTTTGCCATGCCTTTTCATTAGCTGTATTTTCCTCCTAGAAACCACCAAATGCCTGTATCGCTAGATCTTTCCAACAAAGCCCAAAGGATTTTATGCTCTTCAGTGAGTGTTCCTAACTATTCCCAGCTCTCTTTACTAGGAATAGCTGCTTCTGCTGGCTGCATGCACCTCTCATGTAGGCAACACATTTTCCAGATTCTTTCCACCTTCCACTCCTTTTTACTAGAGATGTGCTCCAGTATGAGAATAGATTAAACCGAAGCAGAGGAAACATTGGAGCCAGGTCAGTCCAGTAGTTTTATAGCAGAAATGTCTTTGGAAATCAGCACAGAGCTCTGCACAGACAACAGTACAGCTCCTCAGTTTGTGTAACTCCAGTCTTGCTTTTAATAGCAGCATCCAGTAGATGCCATAATTCTCAAGAAGTAAAATTCCTACTTTCACACACACACACAAAAAAGAAACTATATAATAGTATAATACTAATGAAGATATTATTCTGATTTCATCTTCTACCCTGTGACAAGGTGCAGCAATGGCCAGCTGCCCCCTGAAGGGTATCCTTAAGACAAGAGTGACCAGGACACATGGCAAGACACCAGCTACAACATACCTTTGATACACCATCCTAAACACAACTCTAAAATTGCTACTTCCAGATAGAGATTTTCAATCACCATTAGCTCTTTCTCTAACTGTTTCATCCTGGCTCCAGTAGAGCTCTACAGGTTTGTACCAGTTCAGAACTTGGCTTTCCATTCCTAGTGCTTCTGGAATTTATGCTAGTCCAGAAAACAAAACTAACATCAGGGAACAGGTCCTCTTGCACTAAACTCTGCACTAACATGAAATAAGAGATAATATCTGAAGGAACTCCCTAGAAGAAAAGGGCCCCTCACTACAAGAAACACCTTGAGGCCCTGGAGTGTGTCCAGAGAAGGGCAATGGAGCTGGGGAAGGGTGCAGAGCACGAGTCTGATGAGGAGCAGTGAGAGAGCTGAGGGTGTTTAGCCTGGAGAAAAGGAGGTTCAGAGGTGACCTTATTGCTCCCTACAATTCCCTGAAAAGAGGTTGTAGTCAGGTGGGGGTCAGTCCCTCCGCCCAGGTAAGAAGCAATAAGATAGTAGGAAATGACCTCGAGTTGCATCAGAGGAGGTTTAGGTTGGATATCAGGGAAAATTTCTTCACTGAGCACGTTGTCAAACACTAGAACAGGTTGCCCAGGAAGGTGGTGGAACCACCATCCCTGGAGGTATTTAAAAGACATGTAGATGTGGCACTTGGGTACATGGCTTAGTTGTAAACATGGTGGTGCTGGGTTAACAAATGGACTCTGTGACCTTGGAGGCCTTTTCCAACCTTAAAGATTCTGAGATTCTATGATTCTAAATGAAACAGCCAATGACACCGCAGTGACAGGAAGGTGTCTGATGGAACATGGCAGAGTGTTGGAGGTTGGGTGTCTGAACACCACACACTGATTATGCTGTTCCAGCGCTGCTTAGACTTGTATTTCCACCCTAATGTACTAAACCCTTCTGAGGTTAAGCTCACCCAATTTAAGAATACAAATAACCCCAAAAAGCCCCATTTCAGAAGGCTCCATTTCTTGGGGAGCCAATGACAGCACGATGACGTTGCTCTAAATTTGCCTCTGGGCAAACTAGTCACTGCCATGAAATTGTTACCTTCTTTCCTGCCTTTCCTGCCTGCTCCCCGATTGGCACTTTTCACAGTGACAGTCATGAGCCTGTGTATAATATAATCACAAGGCTGCCTCTGGCTTCAAGCCATTCAAAAAAAAAAAAAATTTCACAGCATCCTACGTTAAAATGTAGCCCCTGTCCTGCACTTTCCCACTAGGTAACTTTCTGTTCCTTTCTTCCACTCCATGCTTTTGGGTTTAGGGGGTTTAGGTTTGTTTGTGATATTTTTTTTTTTTCTACTATCACATTATCCCGTGTTGCAATTGTAAAACCACATTATAAAAGCAGCCAATATTGAACTAATTTTATCACAGGGCCAGTAATAAAGTTTAACACCAACTATAATATTGTTGTACACCAGAAATATTGCAGCAGAACTGTAATATCCTGTTAAATTCATTTTCCATCCAACACCACAAGATCTGTTGAAAGATGTTAAGGGTGAAAGGTTTGTAGATTTTTAATTTTCCTTTTTTTTTCCGCTTTATTTTTGAAGAGCACTATAAATGTTTAAATTTCATAAAAATATACATCACAAGTTTGGCAGTAATCGTTCTGGTGACACTTCTAAAGCCTTCATTGTCTGAAAAGTAATGGATGGCCAGCAGCTACCCTGGAAAGCAATATACATCATTAGAACCAGCTCATAGAAAGGAAGAGGTAGTTTTGACATGGTCCCCATTACTGCAGTATCTTGTCCCCTCCTCATGCTTTATATATTTATTCTTAGGCACCCCAGGGAATTAGACGCAATTATCCTTTTCTTCTTGGGCAGAGAAATGGGTAAAATGTTAAGCAGCTTGCCCCAGGTGACACAAAAAGTTTTATGATACTCCATGGATCTGAATCAGCATCCCTGGCACAGAGGCTGGGCTATCTGCTCCTCCCATGGGAGGAGGACAGGGATGACTAAATGCTTCTTCTTGCAATCAGCCCTATCTGAGAACACTGGCCACTTTCTACTGCCTCCAAGGAAGGTCTCAGCCACATATAAGAACACACAGGATTAATTAAAAGCATTCTTTTAAACCAATTAACTTAAACTGGTAGAAACCCTTGTGTAGATATCCTCAGTGGATTTAAACCTATTTTTTTAAACTCAGTCTAACTTGAGGCTCTGCATTTGCCAGCTGTGCCCCAGCATCTTTCACATCTTTTCAACTGCTTCTGTTTTTAAACTAATTTTAATTAAGTGCACACACTCTGTGTGGTCAAATCCCCAAGGGTCTGTAGGAATGCAGGCAGAGACACTAGGAAAAAGAGTACAAGTCGGTTCAAGGCAATCCCAGGTTCTGCAGCCCAGCTCTCAGCAGGTACCGACTGTTCTATGTTCAGTATACGTAGATAATGAGAACTCAGCCCTGCCCTGATGAACTTATGGTCTCCATAGAAATTAATCTAGACTTTAATGACTGCATTTGTACAAAGACAAAAAAAAACAAGACAGAAAATACGAATGATGGTGAGCAGCTTGCTACAGAAAATCAAAAACAAATCAGGAGACCCGGTGTGTCCCCACGGTCAGTGCTGCTGCTGCTTTCTGCCTTCTCCCAGAACAAGGCTAAAGGTGACCTGGGGACAAGGCTCAAGGCTGAGCTTTTCAAGGTAATATAGCATGGAAATCAAAATACGTAAGTATGTCTGGCATGGAGTCAGTCCAAAAAGCACAGTATTTATGGGAACTGCCCATGTCTCTAAACAAGCAAAAACCACAGAGAGATGGAGAACTGTAGATTTCATTGACCATTCTTTGATCTAAACACATGCACTACACATTAAACAAGATAGCTCAGGAAATATTTTTAAACATGTTCTGACCTCATTAAGAAAAAATTGGAGGACAAAATACCACTTACCCATAAACCTTTCTTCTTTTTAAAAGATCATTCAGTGTTGTTTGTTTTTTTTTTTTAAATGTGTTAATGTATGTGCCAAGGAGACAGTAGCCTGAAGTGCAGAAGGCTCTAGTTCTTTCTGAGCTCTAACCCACTCTTTTCCATCTCTCTGTAGCTAGCTGAAGAATGCTAATACTCCCAGGGATTTTCTTTTGTGGATTTAAACTCCCTTCTCTCCATCTAGGTAACTCCAATGATTTGTCAGTCTTTTACAGACTCCAGAATTGATGTGGTCATGCAGTAGTGACTGACCGTCTCTCACTCTTGCAGATCATGTTTCTAACGGATACTGCATTCCTGAGGACAGGAACCAAAGCCCATGGAAATCTGCTGGTCAGAAACTCAGTCTACCTTCCTGTATGGCCATTCTGGTTAGCATAGAATAGCAGCAACACAACCCCTTTCAGATAGGATCTTTCCAGAGTCACCAAGCACTTTCTTAAGATTGCATCCTAAAAATGTCTTTGAAAATCTGTTCTCCTGCAATATCAGACCATTTGTGCTGTGATTGTGATTAATTTGAGCTATGGATGTTCACAAGGAATAGTCTCCAGGACAGCTTTGTGTGTGTGTGTGTGTGTGTGTGTGTGTGTATAAACATCAATGCCACAACTAGTGGCCAATATGTCCTGGTGGCCAGAATAATTTTGTATTTCTAGCAGGAATTGTAGCCTTCACAGGAGCTTCTTTTTAGGTTATAGAATGAGCCTGGAAGGGGAAAAAAAATTACATCCACTGTGAGAGTCTTTGCATTGTTAATTTATTCCCCCAGAAACTAGGAAACTTGCCATGGAGAGTAATAAAAGGGGAAAGGAAAGGAATTAAGGACCTGTAAAAAACTGCAAGAAAGAGGAGAATCAGAAAACAAAGTCACATACACTACAAGGCAACCAGATACCAAGAAAATTTTCAGAGACCAGGTGGCTATATATTAGTGGCAGAATTTCTCAGTCTGTTAGATGGGCAAGCAAGTATGAACCACACAGAAGCTTCATTGCAAGTGAAAGGCAGGGAGGCAGCAGGATGTCTGGGCTGGTGAACATTTGTAGGAGGCCTCTGGGAAGGAGCTGGAGGACTAGCTGCCTTCAACAAAATGTGACAAGCGTCAGGATGTAAGGGAAAGACTTCCTAGAGAAGAGATTTCCTGTCTTCTTGCATCTTAAAGCACTTTGTAATGCAGTGACAATTGCAGGTGAAGGGGACCTTCCTGAAATGCTACAGGTTTATGTGTATTCTGCAAAGGTGAAAATAACATCATAAAGAAGACAGGGTTAGATATATGTAACTCCACTTTAAGCATCATCATACCACTGTGTACTGGTAATAGAAAGCATTCTTTTTGTTTCCTCTTTCTCTGTGTTTACTTTTCTACCAGTAAAATTCTTTACTTAACTTGTCTTAAATTACCCTTGATTTGCATCATTTAAATAAGTAAGACCTTTTATGTTAGCCCCTACAGTGGAGCTGTGATGATTTACTCCTGCAAAAAATTTTGATCATATCCATAAAGACAAAGTCAATCCAGCCTGAGGATGGCTGTGTGTTATCCTACAGTGGAGCCCAAGGGAGGTTTTAAAATGAATAGGAGAGTGTGAAGCCAAGGCACAGATTTTAAGGCCAGAAGAGACTGATAAAAATCAGTTTAGTTTATCTACTAAATAGCACAGGTTTCCAGAAATGCTCTGAAGTAAGTCTCTTGGGATTACACAAAACATCTGTAATGGAGCTGGAAAGTGAACCCAGAGACACATGTCCTACTGCAGCAGGTGACCTGCAAGGCCACAGTTCAGTTCTCTCGGGTGGAAGTGAGTCAGGCATTTTCTTTATATCTTATTGAGGGACCATTTGCTTTTCCTATGTCTCACATGACTGGCCTGGGACTATGCCCTCAAGCAGGCAGCAGAACAAATCACAGAGAGCAAATTGCTTAAAAAACTTGTGCAGGTGGATAATGAAAAGTGCAGCTGAAAACAGCTCCCTGCAAGAAGATACTGAGAGTGACTTCTGAAAACAGAACTGTCACTTCTGATGGCATATCCTATTTCTTCCTCTGTCTTTCCTGAACACTCCAATGCAAGGAAACAGTGCAAAACCATTATCTGGATGGTTAAATTCATGTTGTCCTCTTCTGTATGAGTTATTTGCAAGGTTTCCCAGTGTACTGCTACCAGACAAGTAATTTATTTTTTTTAAATAATATTTACTTCTCTATTCTTTAGTTTCTTCTTTCAGAAGAAAGTTTCAAAGTTGTCTTGATAGTATGCTCTCTTCCTCCTCCTCAAGTTGCAAACCTGTGTGCTTCCCCTTCATTTCTTCCAAACCATCTTTTCCATTTGATTTCTTCCTTTCATCTGACCATAACTTTGTGTGACCATAACTCCTTAACCTGAGTGGCTCATCAGTACTGCTTTAAACGGTTTAAGTGGCTTTCAAAAGTGAAAGGTACCTTGACTTTGCAAGGTGTCTTTGATCATGCACATGAGCAGAAGAGCATTAAAAAAAAAAAAAAAAGAGGGGCAAAAATTAAGTGTTACAAATAAGGAAGAAAACCCCTCATTCAGTTTGAGGTCCTGCCATTCTCACTGTCTCCAGACACAACCAGGGAGCAGATGTACCTGGACCCCATTCAGACGCTGTGCTGAGTTTTCTACACCTTGATTCCACTGTGAGAATGTAGAACTTAATTTATCTTACATGTTTACCAAGCTGTCTTTTGGGGACATCCATAATGATTCTGTTTTTATCTGGCAACAGAGGAGGACGAAGGCACAGTGACGTGAAGAAAGATACATGAGTTGTCAGAAGACAGGTAACACATCTTGCTAACATACTCTGTTCCATTTTCCCCCCAATAGCCTGGAGCAGTGTTTTCCTTTTAAAAATATCCTATCAGCTCTGACAGATGGATTAAGGCTTAAAAGCATCAATATTTTGGGAAAGCAGTACCTGCTAGCAGGGTAGATATAGGTTTGTGATTCAAGAGATTTTATATTTCCTATTAGGTCCCTTTCCTGAAAAGCAGAAACCATTTATTTTAAACTTTATCTACTGGTAGGGGTTTTTATTATCTTTTCTTTCTTTTTTTTTTTTTCTTTTTTGGGGGGCTTGTTTTGATTTCTTCAGTGGACACCTCATTTGTCAGAAGTGGGGAAGAGTGGGAGTGCTTTTCCTTGACTGTCCTGAAAGGTGACCACTAAAAAACTGCCATTGCTCTTGCTCAAAGTGGGTTACCAGAAGGTCGTTGCAAGAGGATACATGAAAGGAAAAAAAAAAAAAAAAAAAAAGACAAGACAAATATCATCCCAGAAGCAGATTTAAAGAGTTCTGATAACTTTTTTTCCTCTAGCAGGAAAGGTTGAATCAGTCTTGTTGTTCATATTCCCCATTGTACTTCTGGCCAGCTGTTTTGCTTATCTGGCATTCTGGCTCAGATGGACCCCACCTGACAGCAGGCAGAGACCCTGGAGTTAGGACTGTCATTATCTGGGCACCAGCTACAGTCACAGAGAAGAGAGAGAGACACCTCAGGAGAGGGATTCACATCTGAGGAGGGTGAATCATTCTCTCAAGATGCCAGTATTTCTCCGTTTCTCAAGATGCTGCTGGCACAAACAGCAGTAAGTACAATGAGGCTTCTAATTTTGGAGCCTTGGTGAAAAGCCTGAAGTTTCATGGGTGAATCTAGACTGTGGTGAGTCTCCCTCTCATCATATCTGCAGCTTGATAGAAAGAAAGATATCAAAGATATTCACTCCTTTGTCGCACAGGACTCCTGTGAAGGGAGGCGAGAGGAAAGTATTCACAAAGGAGAAGAGGAATAAAGAGAAGAGAAATGTGGAGGTTTCCAAAGGGAAGTGAGGAAATCTATCCCACTTTTGCCTTATGGCTTTGTGAGCTGAGTTACACGGCTTCTTGTCTATGCCACCTCCACAGCCAGAAGGCTGCTCAAATACAGGATTTGATTCTGGCCCAAAGCTCAGGCAGGAGCATAGCTGAGGATTTGCACATGGTTCCCATCTGCTCCCTAACTAGTCCTCTCCAATAATTCATGCAGCTGAATGGTTGCTGTCCTGGGAAGGACAGGGTTGGGATGGCCAGTGACTTCAGCCCAAAGGCTCAGAGTGGCTGAGTATAGTCACTAAAAGGATAGAAAAACATCAGCAACCTCAGTGCAATTCCAGAGAAGACATTTCACTTCAGGAGTTTCTTTGGTGTGCAATTTTTTCTTATTACTAATTACCGTGTGCAAAGAGTTAACAGAAATTGAATGGGTTTGAGCTCAAAATAGTGGTAGGACGGTGAAGAGCAGAGTCAAATTGGGAGCCCAGCATTGAGCAGATCAGCAATGTGATCTCATCTGAAGACCCTAACTCCAGGATGTCCTGGCAACATCCTTTCCATTAGGTTTCTTTCAGTTTTGAGAACCCAACAGGGCAACGTGATCCCCCAGATACTTTCACTCTGACCTCAAATACAAAAACTTCTCTACAGGGCACTGCAGACCCAGGACCTCCATCCCCACTAGAAGGAATGAATAAAGGGTCCTTCTCAGAGATCAGCTTTCGAGTTTCTGCTCTCTGAGACCTTCTCTGGAGCATTTTCAGCTCTCCCACTTCATCAGAGGTGCCCCAGTACTGCCTAGAAATTACTCCCCACTGGGCTGAGCCCAACAGACAGATCAGGGGGTAGCCATCAAGGAGGGACTTTGCAGAAGTCCTCTCCCGATGGTGTTCAGGTTTCCCAATTTGGTCACTCTTGGCTGTGGCTATGCAGGCACTGCTGGTGCAGTTCTCCTCTCTGTTCACTGCCTGAGGGGCACAGTGGCTTCCCAGCATCTGGTTTTCCCACCATCCTGAACTCAGAAGTTCATTTTATCACATCTAGAATGCCTGATTCTTTCACACAATTGAATTACAGCTAAGGGATGAACAACCAATGCTTTTCTTCTTTCTTGCCAGTCTTGGCAGAGGGGTCCTTGTGAACATCAGGATGACCCATTCAGGGTCTATGAGAGCCATGAAGCATTTGAGTGGGGCCTGAAGAGTCACATCGGTTTCCCTGCATACTCAAGGGAGAGGCATCCCCTGAGAGCATTCAGCTCACTGAAGATATAAACCAATGAAGATATAAATCACCTGTCATTCTTCATAAAGAAGTCCCAGAGCAACTTTACTATGGTGGGACACAAACAGGATGTAAGGAAGGTGCTGATGACAGGGCAACATACTCCATGTTTTGGGTGACACAACAGGGCATGTTGGCAGTACTGAGGGCTAAACCTCTGTTTCCTGTCTTTCCTTATCAGTCACTTGTAAATCAGAAAGTTCCAAAGCCATGGCTTGAAAAGAGAAAATCCAGTGTCCAGACTGAGTGTGGGAGGCAGGAAAGCATCCTGAAGCCCATATTCAGAATAGAAGGAATTGG